CTGCATAGTGCATTAGTATAGCTTATCTTGTCACAAATCCTTGGTGTTTAAATTTAAAGAAAGGGTATCTTGATATTGGATGCGAAGTGGTCAACTAAAACTAACCTTATGGATCTAATGGTGTCTTGCTACTCTATCAATCTCAACATACATAATGTTATGCATTTTGTGGTCAAAGGGGACAAAGTGCTTATTATGAAAGATTGAGGGTATGAGTAATTGTTGGACTATCAGTTAAAGGGTTAAATGTAGTTAAGCTTTATTTGTGTATAGAATTAGACATGAAAAAAAATTGTTGTCTAGGTAGAAATTGCAGTAGTATTGAGTCTAGTTGTGTGCAGTCTTGCTTCACAAATCCCTATATTACATGATCCTTACATCTGTTTGAAACAACTGGTCATACTTGTTCAACTCCATTCTTTTGTTGTCAATTGTGAGCTCAGCTAAAATTTTCTGATCATCCTCTAGTATTTGTTTAGCTCTCATAACCGATATGCTATTATCTAGCCACAATTAAATATGCTCAATAATAGCTCGATTTGAATAGGACTTGTGAACTGCTGATGGTGAGAATATAGGATTACCTTTTGCAGGTAGAGTTTTATAATTAAAGATGGAAATCAGGACCATAAAAGGAAGCTCTTCTCCACACCGACCTAAATGGAGGAAAATTGCTTATGGAGGGATGCAACCTGGGTTTGAGGACAATCACACTGATGAGTCCTTTTTAGAAGATATGATCATGAATGCTAATGTTGTCAGAAGGAACTTCTTAAGGGTGATGCTAGATTCAGTTTCCATCTCGGAGTATCTGTGCATTGTTGCTCTTGTGGTCTTGGTTTGGACCTATACCCTTAGATCTACATTTGCTGAAGATTCTCTTTTGCTTCTTGACGTTAGCCTTCTTGGGTTAGGTTTCTTCATTCTTCTGTTGACTGCAGAAATGCTATCTTTTAATCTTCTTCTTAGTTATTTACTTAAGATCTCCTTCTTTATAACAGGTTTATATCTTTTGTCTCCTATTTACCAAACCCTCACCCGCTCTATTAGTTCAGATTCCATATGGGCTCTAACAGCTGCACTTATCATACTTCATCTCTTCCTCCATGACTACTCAGGACCCACAGTAAAAGCTCCAGGGACTGTGGAAAATCCCACCTTTACAAGCAACATCTCTTTAAATGCTTCTATTGTGGCGTCTCTCTTGATTGCTTCACGCCTTCCATCAAGACTTCATGTCTTTGCCATTGTGCTCTTCTCCTTGCAAGTTTTTTTGTTTGCTCCACTAGTCACATATTGCGTAAGGAAGTATTCTTTCCGGTTACATCTCTTTCTTTCCTTTAGTTTAATGTGTCTGACATTGTTTTTTATTCATAGTTTGCACAGGTTGCTTTTTGTGCTATTCTTTGTCATTTTGGCTTTCGTTAATGTGGTCTGTCCTTATTGGCTGATTAGAATTCAGAAGTACAAATTTGAGATCAATGGTCCTTGGGATGAAGCTAAACTTTGCTTTAACATTACAGAATAACAATTTTTTGTAACTTTTGAGGATGTTTTGAGAATGATGAATCCTGAAGATCAATTGTAATGTCTTTTGTTGATTGTGGTAATTTAAATTCTCTTTATGTGGCTCATTGTAAACAGGCTTCTGATGCCTGAATTTAAGGCTGTTGGGAAATGTTGAATTAATTACAAAAGCAAAAAAATCATTCTAGACGCATGCTTATATTTGGTGCTGATCTTTACATTACCAGAGATGGTATGAACGGTTTATTTCCAATGAGAAGATAAAAGGCTATAAGGCCTCATCATAGATTAGCGTACTAAAATCGCTATTAATTTTGATGAGACAGCTATTCCCGTAGTTGGTTTTGCTCTACTTTTTAAGTGATTTGCTAAATTTGGTTAGCTATTAAAGTGAAGAATTATGGTTTGCTGTGCCGAGATAAGCAAAAGATATTGTGCTAATGGTCTTCACAACTTTAGTGTAGAATAGCCACATATCTTTCCTTATCTTCAAGAGTAATTAAATAAATTGAGTAGCCATGTACTTATCCATCTTTACTTGGATTGTACCTTTCCTGCTTCCTGGATGGATAGGAATCTGGGGCCTCTAGAATCATAGAAGTTGTTGTACAGAACAATTTGTGGTCAAGAGCGAAAGCTTTTGAAAATACACAGTTTGGATTGATGCTGTACACACTTCTGAACAAATTGTACCTACAAATTCAGCAGTTTTTTAATACAGATGTACATATAATATTGGCTGAAATTGTTCTGTGATGTACGTTTGTTCATTCTGACGGTTGTACAGGCTCACTGAACCTCTAAATCTTGCAGCCTATAGAAGTTTGTAGGCCAAGGAACATTAAGGTGGTTTTTTTTTTTGGGGGGGGGGGGGGGGGGTGGGAGAGGAAGGGGGTTGAAGGAGAAAAATTGAGCTTGACACTGAAAAATAATGATGAACTGCAATTATAACGTCCAAAGGAACAGGTTTTAAAAATAACAAATAGCTTGATTTATTTTCAGTAAAAAGTGCATAAGCTACATCAACGATAATAGTAATAGCAGTAATAATAACAATAATGATGGGGTGAACAGAAGGGAAAGAAATGCGGCTATGTTTATTTTGATCCCATCACAAATGTATCCAGAGGATTAGACTAAGAATCAAATCTTGCTGGGGGAAACATTTGATGAAGAAGCCTCTTCTGTCAACTTCTTGGCATGTTCCTCCAATTGGAGAAGCAGATTGTCTATCTTTGCCTCCAGATTTGTTACCATTTCCATGTCCATTTGATCAATTGGCACCCCAGGCCAACCAACAATGCCATCCTGGGCAAAAAGGTCATCCAACTTCTTGGCTCGTTCTTCTTCAATCTCTTGTTGAACTTCAAGTTCATGAAGTTGTTGCTCGAGCTGTTCAACTCTAGCTCGAGCAAGGGCCTCAGCAAGTTGATCTGCATCGTCCCTAGGCATGTCTCTCCCCAGAAATCGATTGAAAACTTTGTCTGCATTTGGATGGAAGAAAGAGTGTGGCTCACCAGTTGGAGAAAAAATTATGACTCCAATGTCAACTTTGCATGTTGTGCAAAGTTCACTTGCTTCCATGAAAAGCTCATCTCTTAGTTTGTAAAAAGTAGCATACAGATCATCCTCCTTTTCTATCTTTTTCATCTCAATTTTTTCACGACCTTTCATCTGCTTATCTCCCGTGAGTTTTCAACAAGTGAACTCAGGAATGAGTCTCTCAGTTCTGTATGCAAATTTATAGTTGAAAGCCAAGGGATTGCTTAATTATTATCTTTTATAATTAGTTTTAAAGTAAATGAAAAGATTTAGTGGACGTTCTATCCATATTTGTATACGTTTTGTCCACATTTGTATCCGACTCTTTTATAATTAGTTTTAAAGTAAATGAAAAGATTTAATGGACGTTTTATCCATATTTGTATACGTTTTGCCCATATCCGACTCTTTATAAGTAGTTTTAAAGTAAATGAAAAGATTTAATAGACGTTTTATCCATATTTGTATACGTTTTACCCATATTTGTATCCAACTCTTTTATAATTAATTTTAAAGTAAATGAAAAGATTTAATGGATGTTTTATCCATATTTGTATCCAACTCTTTTATAATTAGTTTTAAAGTAAATGAAAAGATTTAATGGGCGTTTTATCCATATTTGTATACGTTTTGCACATATTTGTATCCGACTCTCTTATAATTAGTTTTAAAGTAAATCTTTTATGCGCTGTTAGTGTATATATTAATTGATCTAGATGCACACCATATATGCAAAATTTGATATTCAAATTCAAGATGAGATGATATAACACGCATCTAAATCCATCAATATATGTACACACTGACAGTATATAAAAGATTAATTCTTAGTTTTATTATAGTTTCTCACTCCTCTAATAATTTTATCTTTTTAAATAAATTTGAATTATTTGTTGTTATAGTTCCACTCTCTTCCAACAATATCACCTCTTTTGATGAACTCGTATGGTTTTTAATCATATGGATTAGCTTAGCATAATAAAAAAAAAATTAACTGTTATATGGATAGATTTACCAATATTATTGGTTACTAAATATTTGTTGATGAAGAAAATAAATTGTTGGATCTTTTGTACTTAATTAAGTATAAATATGTAGTTGTAGGTTTATTGTCATTATAAAAATTTTAATTCTCTAAAAGAATGTCTATTAAAAAACAATATTTATCGATTTTTTTGACATGCATTACAATATTTGATGAATACTTCTATATTATAGTAAAATATGTAAAGAAGTTTTTAAAAATTAGTATGATAGATAAACATTTAAAACACATTAATTTTCTAAATGAATATAAATGAATGTGTACGATCATTTCTAAATTTTTTTAATTTTAATTATTCATGCTTGTACAAATTCACAATAAATAGACCATGCTAAGGCATGTGGAAAATAATAGTCTCAAATTGATAGAACAAGATGCTACCCCCTCAAATTATTGAATTCCTGGACTAGTGAGTAATAATTTTGATGAAAGTGGAAAATTTTCTTTGGACTCCAATCTTAGAATTGCATATCAGGTTTCATAAATTTCAGACAAATCTTCACTGAGAACTCCTTTTTTTTTTTTTTTGAGGAAACTGAGAACTCTTTAGATAAAAATCTCCACAACATAGAATAACATTAAAAAAGGTCCCTATTTGTCTTGAATTCTAAAATATACATTAAAAAAAAAGTAGTATTAATTTATTTTGTGTTTATTTCACCTTTCTGCCAACCAAATTCTAGAATGATTTTAAGGATTAAACACATTTGTGTGAAAACTAGCTATTTTCATGAAAAAAATTAAAACAGAAATTCGCATTTGTAACCAACAATACTATTTTTTTTCCTTTTTTAATGTTATAAAAGTTTGAATGGCTTCGATTTCAGTCGCCTTGCCAACAACGGTCACTTTTGTTGTCGAAGTTAAGTCTTAGGCCTTTATAGTACCATTAAGAGTTTCCGTACTGATAATAAAATTCATACTTTCTGCAAAACAAAAAGATATGCAAAACAAGCTGCATGATAGCAATTCCCTGCTCATTTGTACAAAAAGTTTCATCCACATTCTTCCACCCTTGAGCTAAAATTCTCTGCATCATGATTATTCCCAGCATGGCACCTCCTTCCAACCCAGCTTCATCCAGAATCTTTCATTGTAGGTGACAGTTAGAAGCACCGGATATGATCCTTACTGCACCAGTCAACCAATGTTGCCTCATTTTCTGCCAAAAAAACAAAAAAAGTATCGCATGCTGGCTTCATACAGATAAGACTAGGAGATCAAAGCAAGAATGATTTCAGAACATTGGCAAGAAGAACAGAAATCCCAGTTCAATTCCTCAGTTCAATTCTAATTCCCCAGTTCAATCCCAGTTCAGCCGCATGCAACCAAAGAATTGGATATAGAAGAATGCACCATTCAATGGACTTGTAGATTTACGGTTTTGAAAGAGTCTCATTTTCGTATATCAGCATTTGAAACAATCCTCGATGAACAACATATTTCCCGCAGCAGTTTCCAGCATAGAAATTTGAAATTGTCACAAATATCTTTGAAAAAAAAATTCAACTTCTTTTTAAATTCTCATTCCTTCCAATTTAAAAATATTCTGCATCAGAAGAGTCAAAATTTAACTTCACCTCATGTTTCCCCCATGGGACTATGACTTGCTGAAAAGGGACCGTGGTCCAGCTTGCCGGCAAAATGCAATTTGACATGTGGGGGATCTTCTAGGGAACAGTAGTATCTTCTGAGTAAGCTGAAATTTCGTGCTCAAGCCGCCGACTTTAGAACTTAGATGCATTCGGTTTAGAACGCTACCATGCTTTAGAATGTAGCCTATCATTGCAAGCTCATCTTCACAGCCTTCAAGTTCTTCAAGTGAAATTTGTTTCAGGCTCGTTATCAAACATCTGGGAACTTCTATGGGATCCCTCCAGCATGACTCTATAGTGTGTTCTCTATGCCAATTCTAATTACCACAAAAGCAACTCTTCAAAACATCTATACAGATTTGAAAAAGAAAGCATAAAAAAGATTCATCCTTTTCCTCTGGGTAATTTTCTCGTTCCAAACTAACCTTAAGCATATCAAAAGCATCTAAGTTGCCTACCTTTGTGAAATCAAGAACTTCTAAATTTACTGCCGCTTCAACCAAATCCTGCAGGCAAGTCCATTCACAGCATCCAGCTCCTACTACCAATTTGGTTAGTCCTTCGAATCTCCTTGTTGACAAGCAGGTAGTGGCATAGCTCAGAGCCTACATAAAACATCATTTAGCTCGCAGCTAGCCCGCTTATTTAACTTGATCTGTGCATTTAGCTACAATCTTTAATTTAGCGAACAAATCACAAAACACTGGGAAACATAGACGACTACGAACATCAAAGCCTAGTGAATTTAACGCGTAGGCTCCTGACACAATAATTTTGCAGTAAGTTTACAACAGAAGCTGGTACACTGTCCTCAACATTAAGAGAAAGAACTGGTAACTTACATTCATTGTCTTCTGTGACAAAGTGAGAATCTTTACACCGTGTAGTGCCTGAACCAGTTCCACAAGTGAATTGCAAAAAGCACTTTGAGGTGCATCATCACCAGGAAAAGCCTCAACATCAATTTTTGCTCTAACTAAAGAGGTAATGTTCTGAAAGTTGACGCCAATGTGCTGCCATATGTGATTGGAATAATCAAGGGACTCTAGTGCTGGGGTATTTATAGCAACCTTGTAGTGAAGATTTTCAGGAAAGTCATCGGGACCACGAAAACGGAGTTGTTTCAGTGAAGGTGAAGATATTACAAAAACTGTCACATTATCAAAGCTGCATCTGCAAATATCCAGGAATTCTAGTATTGGACAGCCAGATATGAGCTTACTGACGGATTCATCATTTCTGTATTGAACGTCAGAAAGCGTTAGACGTTTTAGTCTAGGAAGACAAACCAAATTTGGTGTATTGATATCTAGATTATCCCACAATTCAAGATCCTCTAATGTTCTGCAAGTAAATAGGCAACTAGGCAATTCAATGACAACATCAGCACGACAATAATAAAAAACTTGAACTTTCAGCACTCGGACATTCCGGATAATTGCAGTGCTGATCCATGCATTGACATAGAATGGCTCAATGAATTCATTTCCACAAAGACGGAACTTGAGTATATTCTGCACAGTACTTAGAAGCAGAACCTTATTAACAAATTGCTCAAACTTTCTCACTCTTTCTGGGCTTTTATGAACACGATCATCATCGAAAAGAAGGTAGGGGACTCCAGTCCACAGGAATTTCCATCTTTTAGATAAAATACTTGTTCCCACAGCATATTTTGTTGTTGGCAGAAAAGAAAGAATGTGACAGAGAACTGAATCGGGCAAACTGCTAATCCTATCAACAGAAGCACCAGCATCCATTTCACTTGACAGAGTTAGACGCTTCTGGCTTGGATTTTCTGTAGAATCCAAAGTATTTAAGTAAGCCACATTGTCGCATCTTTAAGAAAGACAACTTCTTTTTTGCCTACATATTATACACTACAATGCATTGCCAAGCATATCTAAACCATAAAGTCCAACAATATGGGGTGAGGCATATATACTTTTTTCCGAAGGAAAGGCATCTAAGGAAGTAGAGCACAGTGTTAATAATTTCTTTTTCCAAAGAAAACCACTGAAAACAACGATAGAAACAAGGGAAGCCTTGATTGGGGGAAGAGAAAAAAATAGACAAAGCAAGAGTATTACCCATAAATCTTTCTGGGATTTTCTCTTCTTTCAGAGAGAAGCTGAGAATTACACTGCAAATCCTAGCCGGAAGGCCTTTATGATCCCTAATGTTTCCAACTTTATTTGCCCCAGATCTTCAATGGGCCATCTGTTTAAAAAAAAAAAAAAAAACAAAGAAACATAGCGAGAACAAGGAAGGACTCTTGCAAAACTAAAAAAAGCGGTCAACACTCTAATTGTGATGGTTTTGGAGAGAAGGGTCGACAGCAGAGTTAAAAAGCAGAAGTTTCTGCAGCAGAAGACCGAGAAAGTGTCACGGATTTGGATCAATGGTGGAAATTGTAGTAAATCAGAGAGGAAAAGGGGAAAAACTGGGAGGAATTAGAGTGAGAGAGAGAGTAGAAGCGAGAGAGAGAGAGAGAGACTAGAGAGAGAAAAGAAACAAATTCAATTCTGATAGCCAAAACTGTTACAAGCTGTGGGTCCCATTTATTGTCAGAAACTAACTAATCGTAACTAACTGGTCAATTAGCCAAACGATGCCGTTTGGCTAAGTAATTGCCCTAAGCTCTTAAACGGTGCCGTTCCACCAAGTAATTGCCCCAATTCCTTAAACGGTGCCGTTCCAATAATGTCTTCATATCTGCTGGGCTGACAATCCCTTCCCCTTGCGAACAGGCTTGTCCGCAAGTCTGCAAGAAAATTCTGGAAATTGGTGCTCGATGAAGGTTTTATCTTCCCAGGATGCTTCATCAAAACTAAGGTGATTCCACTTAACCAAGAGTTGTACCACAGGCTGTCCATCACGTAATATTGCTCTACTCTTCAGGATCATCTCTGGTTGGAGGGGGCACAGATCATGCTCATCCCACTCTGGTAATGTAGTTGATAGTTGTTGGAGAGGACCTACCTTCTTCTTTAGTAATGATACATGGAAGACCGGATGCACCCTGGCCCCTGCAGGAAGCTTCAGTCTATAAGCTACCTGCCCAATCCTTTCTTCAACCTGGAAAGGACCATAGTACTTAGCAGAAAGCTTCAAGCACTTGCGCACAGATATAGATTGTTGCCTATAAGGTTGTAACTTTAAGAATACCCAGTCCCCTACCACAAATTCTCGCTCAGTCCTGTGTTTATCAGCAAAGTTTTTCATCCTATTTTGAGCCTTGGATAAGTGTTCCTTGATGCTAGCAGTGATTCTGGCCCTGTCCTGTAATGCCTGAGTTGCAGCAGGTATCACTGAGTCCTGGTATGGTCCTAGAGGAAGAGGTGTTGGTTTATAGCCAAACAAGGCTTCGAATGGGGAAAGTTCCAAGCTGGTGTGGTAAGCAGAATTGTACCACCATTCTGCAGTAGGTATCCACTTGCTCCACTGGGATGGAAATTCACAAGTCATGCACCTCAGATAGGATTCCAGACATTGATTGAGCCTCTCACTTTGGCCATCTGTCTGGGGGTGGTAAGAAGAAGAGTATTTGAGCTGAATTCCCATTAGCTTGAACAATTCCTTCCAAAAGCAACTAGTGAACACTCTATCCCTGTCAGTGATGATTGATTCTGGCAACCCATGCAATCTGAAAACATTATCCAAGAACACTTGTGCGACCTGCCTAGCTGAGAAGGGATGTGTCAATAGCAAAAAATGTCCAAATTTGGTGAACCTGTCCACTACAACCAGTATAGTGTCATATCCCTGAGACTTGGGAAGCTTCTCAATAAAGTCCATAGCAATGTGGGACCAAGCCTTTTGAGGGATTGGTATGGGCTGAAGTAGGCCAGGATATGGGAGATGTTCAGACTTGTTTCTTTGGCACACATCACACTCTTGTACATAGGCAATAACATCCTTCTTGAGCTCAGGCCAGTAAAACATGGATTTAATCCTATGCCAGCAACTCTTCTGTCCTGAGTGCCCCCCTATTGCAGAATTATGTAGAGCTGAGACCAGTTTGCTTCTGATGTCATTTCCTGTCCCTACATACAGTTTCCCTTGGTATCTGAGTACTCCTTCTGCTAGTGTATAGGATGGTTGTGATGTAGAGTCTAGCAGTAGCTGGGACATAATCTCTTGGCAGTGAGGGTCACCTTCATAACTTTGAATCAGTTCCTCCATCCAACCTGGCTTAACAGCAGATAGGGCCAAACAGAAACTGGTATTGCTGTCCCTGGAGGCATCCGTCCCCTGTCTCCTTGAGAGTGCATCAGCAACCAGATTTTCAGCACCCTTTTTGTATTGGATTTCGTAGTCCAATCCCAGTAACTTAGTCAGCCACTTGTGTTGTAGAGCAGTATTGAGTTTCTGGTCCAGTAAGTACTTCAGAGACTGGTGATCTGTCCTGATGATGAAGTGATGTCCTACCAAATAATGCTTCCATTTAGTGACAGCCATTACTAGAGCAAGGAGTTCCTTTTCATACACAGATAACCCAAGATTTCTGGGAGATAGTGCCTTACTCAGAAATGCAATAGGATGGCCATCCTGCATCAATACAGCCCCTAAACCTCCACCACTGGCATCAGTCTCAATGATGAAAGGCCTACTGAATTCTGGCAGTTTAAGAACTGGTGCAGTGACCATTAATTCCTTTAATTTCTCAAAAGAATTCTGAGCACCTGCATTCCATATGAAACTATCCTTCCTCAAGAGTTCAGTCAAAGGCTTGCATATTTGTCCGTAACCTTGTATGAACCTCCTATAGTACCCAGTCAAACCCAAAAAACTCCTCAATTCCTTCACAGTCTGAGGTATAGGCCACTTCAAAATACAATCAATCTTAGTTTGATCCATACTAACACCCTTTTCAGAAATAGTATGCCCCAAATAGTCTACTGTTTTCTGAGCAAAAGAGCACTTAGATTTCTTTGCATATAGTTGGTTCTGTCTCAGAGTATCAAGTACTATTTTCAGATGCTGCACATGTGACTCCAATGTAGGACTGTAAACCAATATATCATCAAAGAATACCAAAACGAATTTCCTCAAATATGGTTGGAATACCTGGTTCATCAGAGATTGAAAGGTGGCTGGCGCATTGGTAAGGCCAAAAGGCATCACCAAGAACTCATAGTGGCCACAATGAGTCTGAAATGCTGTCTTGTGAGTATCCTGAGTCTTGACACGAATCTGATGATATCCTGCTGTTAGATCCAGCTTTGATTTGAACACAGCCCCCGCCAGTTCATCTAATAATTCTTCTACATTTGGTATTGGATATTTATCCTTAATAGTCATTTCATTCAATTTCCTATAGTCTACACAGAACCTCCAAGTGCCTTCTTTCTTTTTAACTAGCAGCACTGGAGATGCAAAGGGGCTGGTGCTGTGTATAACTATTCCATGCTCCAACATTTCTGTAACCTGTTTTTCTATTTCTCCCTTTTGAGAGTGAGGGTAACGGTATGGTTTGAGCTTGACTGGTTGAGATCCTGGCTTCAGAGTAATTTCATGGTCAATGCTCCTTTTAGGAGGTAAGGAATCAGGGGTCTTGAAGACATCAGCATACTCACTGAGGATATTTTCCACTGCTCTGGGTATGGTATGGTCGTCTCCATCTTTATTTTGCTTCCATTCCATGGCTGCGCACATCTGCTTCTTATACTCAATGAAATATCTCAAATCCTTCCCTCTGATCAGGTCCATGTCACAGTTCTCTGCTTGTCCTTGTAAGTGTACTGTCTGTCCTTGGCTGAACAAAGAAATGCTTAGCTGATGAAAATCAAATGTGATTGGACTGAAGTGTACCATCCAATCCACTCCCAATATAATATCCCATCCTCCCAACTCCATTACTTTAAGATCAAACCTAAACTTGTACTGATTGACTTCCCACATTACACTTGGACAGATTGCATTACTGTTAACACAGGTGCCATTTCCCATGATCACAGAAAAGGGATTTGAAACCATTTGGTACTTAATATCCATGCCAATGACTAACTCACTGTTGATGTAGCTATCAGAGCTACCAGTATCTACTAAAATCAACACCTCCTCTCCATCCAGCTTCCCTGTCAGTGTAATAGTCTTTCTTTTTAAGGCCTCCGACAATGCATGCAGGGACATGTCCATTACTTGACCAGGGTGTCCAGTTTGGTCGTCTTGTTCTCCCAGTGCATCTTCGAACAGTGGTTCCTCCTCTTCTTCGCTGATCAGAAGGTTTAAGTGTCCTGGCTTACATTGGTGTCCAGGTCCATACTTGTCCCCACACTTAAAGCACAGTCCCAGGCTCCTTCTGTGCTGAATTTCTTGAGGTGAAATTCTCTTAGAATCCTGACGGTCAGTTTGTACATTCTTAAATCTGGTATTCCTGAAATTTCCAGTTGATGGTATCTGGTAAGTGTTGGTGCTGCCTGCTACAGGAGTAGTGCCTTTGGTCATGCCAAACTTATTTTCTGCAACATTTCTGTGGCCTTCTCTAACTCCTCTGATCTGGATTTTGATGTTGCGTTCCTGCCACAGCGAGATCTCAAAGGCCTCTGATAGTGTCGTCGGTCTCAGCATCTTCACCATAGGCTTAATTTCTTCTTTCAAGCCACTGATGAAACTGGAGGTAAAGTAGCTCTCATCCAAATTACTGTTCCTGGCCAGCATTAGTGGCTTTAGTTCCTCAAACCTCTCCTGGTACTCTTCCACACTCCCTTCCTGTTGTAGTTTGTTGAATTCCTCAATTATGTCCTTATAACCATTCTCATTGAATCGTTTACAGAGAATCTCCCCAAATTCTTCCCAGGATAGTCTAGGTTTCTCAATCCGAACCCCTTGGAACCACCTATCTGCCTTTCCCTCCAGATACATCTCTACAATGGCTATTTTCTGCTCATTCGGAATTTGGTAATTAATGAAGTACTTGTTACATTTTCGCAGCCACTCTCTCGGATTTTCTCCTGAGAATAGTTGTAAATCAAGTTTTGGGGGATTTGGTGCTTGAATTCTACCTTCATGCCTGAAAGCTCGCGTAACTTCTGCGTCCGGATACAATCTGAATTGCGGAGGGGGAGTCGGCAGCAACGGCGGTGCCTGTTCTGTTCTTCCCCTGGATTCTTCATCTGGCAGCTTGTCCCTTGCAGCAGTCACATTCAGCATTATTGAGCTGAATTTTTGTTCCAAGAAGGCGCCAAACTTCTGCTCCATTCCAGTCATCAAGCTTTCCATGCGCCTATTGTTCTCTTCCAATTCTTGACGAATCTCTCCTCTGAGCTGCTGCTGCGACGATTGTGAAGATTGAAGATTCTCCATGATTTCTTGTAGCTTAGCCTCCTGTTTCCTCACTTGTTCTTCCAAGGTCTTAAATCTGGTACTTTCTGCCATGATTGTGTCCAAGGATTCCGCTAGCTCTGATACCAATTTGTCACGGATTTGGATCAATGGTGGAAATTGTAGTAAATCAGAGAGGAAAAGGGGAAAAACTGGGAGGAATT